GTAAATGTTTATTATACCTTTAACTTTATAGTTAAAAAAGGAAGTGATTATTTTATGGTGCGGAAACAAAAAAAATATGTTACAAATTTACATATAATGTAAAAGTTTTTAACAAATCTATAAAATAACAAATTTAAACATAGCCTTTTACGAACTCATTACCTATTTTAAAATTCATATGAAAAATATTTGATGTTATTTTGTATTACTTATTAATTTAGATAATGAATATTGCAGTAAATTATATCATGATTAGTTAAAACTACTTATCTTATATTTATAAAATTTTAATTTATATATTACAGCGTAGTCCAAAAAGCTTACCTAACCATATGTTTTAAGAACAATAATGTACAATTAATACATATTTAAAAGCACTTATACAGTAACAAACTTAATTTATAACCAGGGTGGATTTAAAAATAATAAAATTGTAGTAATTTATAAACCTTGGTTAGGTTAGGTTAATAACTGATGAGTTGGTAATAGAGTTATTTATTTACTTTACTCTACTAAGTAATTAATTACTAATGTTTTTTGTGAGTAATCAATTATTTTTAATAATCTAATCGTTTATAACTTATAAGTTATAACCGGACTGTCCGGACTTGTTGGAACTAACAAAAGTAAATTCCGAAAATCAGCAAAAAACATTTAGGGGGCACCCGGGTTTGAACCGGGGACCTCTCGATCTGCAGTCGAATGCTCTACCACTGAGCTATACCCCCGCCATGGTTGAGGCCACCGAATCCAACTTATTTAAAAAGATGTCAAAACATCCATAATATAATTTCAACATTTATTTTGTCAAGACTAATCTTGATAAAGGTACAAAATGAAAATATGAAATTATAACGTTTTAATCTTTTTTATAACATAATAACAATACAAATGATTTATTTAATCATAGGTACTGTACTCTTCTATTTTTAAATTGTTTCATTAAACGTTAAAACAATYCATGGAACCTATTAGCTATAATAGGTAGGTTCCAGGGGCGGACTGRTCCACCGGGCCGTCGGGAAATTTCCAGGTGGGCCAACGCCTAATGTGGCCCGTGGTCGTTGTTGCCAAAATTAAATAAAAAATAATTAATAATAAATGTTGATCATATTACTAGGTATTAAACAAATATAATTATCGATGGGCACATCGATAGTAAATTTAGTGTAAAACTATTATCGGCCAAAATACAGCTCTGGTAAATTCAAAATTGTGTATATTATGTTACATACAAAGTCTGGAATTGTACGTTTCGTAATGTGTACACTGTACAGTGATTTTCATACACATCGCTAATTATAAAATGTTCCTGTACAAAGTAACTTTATTGTACAGCAACATTATACAGTAACATGTAGTTTTATAATAATATTTTTTGTATGAAAAAAAACTGTAAATCATGGTTAAAACATAATTTTTTGAAAATTATTTTATTTTTTTTTTAGTATTATTTTATTTTTATTGTTTTTAGAAATACGTTATTCTATAATAGAAAAATATTCGTATTAGAATTTTTTTTCCATATGTCGCATTTTCGCAATGTGTACTGCGATCATTTTACACATTTCAAAACGTACAATTCCGGACTTTGTCTTAACATATTATGTATTATAATAATATGTTCGGTGTCATAATATTTAAAAAAACGGGTAAGTCGTAGATGTCGCTCTGCTGAACAGTCGGTTACAAGTGGGTTACTGTAATGGATGGAATTAAATTTGAATCCAATGATATTATAATCGTTGTATACGAAAAACGATTCTGAGCGGAAACGGTTTATCTGTCTAGATATACTAATGTACTAATAATATATTATTAAACATTTTCAAATCTTAKATTCAAAAAGAAATTTTTTATGAATTTTCTAGCTTAAAATAATTTGCGAATTTTCGTGATTTTTACGTATGTGTATGTACTAAATCTATTTATTTTATTTTTCACCTGCTATTGTAAAAATATGTTAAGAACTTTGTATTAAATTTTCAAGTTTTTCTACCCAACAAATAAATTTTTATCGATATTAATTATAAAAAAACTAATAATTATCGAAAATTGCAAATACCTATGAATAGTTCAACTTAATTYGAAAGTTTTGAGAATTACATGGTGGATAGAATATACTTAAATAAATATTTGGTGAAAATTTCATGTATCTATGGTGATTTGTTTTTTAAAGTTACACCAAAAACCAAAATCGATTTTGTCGAAAACTGATTGTGCATCAAATTTCCCGTTTTTCCCTAAATTTTTAGTTTGTTTATTACGATTACGATTATTTAGAAAAAAATTAAGAATTTTTTTACTTTTGACCCCCCCCAAAAAAAAAAAAAGTACCAACTAGATTCACTTTCTAATCGAACGAGGTACTGAAGTCAAAAATCGAAGCACTTATACTGCCCCAAAACGTGATGACAAACATAAAAAAAATAAAAATAAAAACACATATCATGGTAAAATCAATACATTCATCGCTCCGCTCAGAATCTTAAATCTGAAGAGTGTAAAAAATGTGTTCCATTTGATATACTTTTTTTTATTATTTTAATTGAGCCTCAACAACAAARGTTATTGACCTTAAGCRTTAATATTTTTTTACACAAGAATGGAGCTTAACAATAATATATGCATTTGTTTGCAATCAATAAGTATATAGATGTAGCCATTGCACTCTAATTCAAAATCCCGGTGACATTTTTAATCCCAGTCCACCCCTGGTAGGTTCCTATAATTTATAAATAATATAAACAATGTAAGAGAGACATTGGCACATTATACAGATATAAATCTGTTCATTTCAATAATATGAATTGTTATTTCGGACAGTGGCATACTGACATTGAGTGACATGTATAACTACGTAGGCGTTAGCCTTAAAAAAAATATAGTAGGTAGGTAGAGGCAAATTGTAGGCAAGAGCGATGACGTGTAGRTGTTACGCGCGACGGTCGTATTCGAGTGAGCGACGCCTGTGGGCTGCGACACGCTGTTATTAAAGAGTATTTATTTTATGTTTGATTYTAAACCGATGAGTATTTTTGACCAAAAACTGTTTTTGGATTTCATTCGTTTGACTACGTTCTTGCCTTCTAAACGGAACAGCACATACACAGCGCGTGCTTTGAGTCTAACAACTCTGATTAACCTGCAGCGTTGTATTAATGTTACGGGCTAAAGTCGAAATCAGGAAAACCTCAGAAATGTCCGGTCAAAACGCGAACTGCCCACAATCCTTGGGCAAAATGTCATATTTCGGCTTTTGACCCGGCAAACCTAGTTATGACCAACCTCATTTGGGCAAAGCTGTATACTGACTTTTATCGTAAGGACAAAACTGTAGTGCTTTATAATATACGTTCCCTAATATTAAATACAAATAGTGATTTTTATCGTACGATTTTATTACGATTTTAAATGCGTCTATTATGTGCAGCAAAAAATAAACAAAAATATTATTTTTTTATTATTATTTATGTGTATTCAATTATATTTTTACAATATTTTATGATAATTATTTATTTGTATTTAATATTAGTGAAGTTATTTAAGACGCTACGGGTTTCTCAAATGAAGTTTAATATTTAAATGTATTAATTTTTTTAATTCTTTATTTTAACATTACAAGAGTACCTAATATTATTATTTGTTAATTTGTATACGAGTACTTAATATCATTATATTTTTATGATTATTTAAGTATTTTAAGTGTATATATTTTGAACAATAATATCTATTTTATGATTATTTGTATTATTTATGATTATTAATTGGTTTTGCCCTTACCATAAAAATCAGTATACAGTATTGCCCAAATGAGGTTGGTCATAACTATAGGTTTGCCCGATCAAAAGCCGAAATACGACATTTCGCCCAAGGATTGTGGGCAGTTCACGTTTTGACCGGACATTCTAAGGTTTTCCCGATTTCGACTTTTGCCCTTAACATTAATAAGCGCCCTGAGTCACACTTCTTTATAACGAATTAACGAACGTAAAACAGACAAACGTATGCCATTGTACCCTATTAAATCTCTAACTGYGCTAATCCAATTGATTTTGGAAATATTCATTAACTCGGAGCATACGATTTTTTTTTATGAAACAACAATTTTTCACTACCTACCTATTTTATAGTTAGAAATTCATAAAAAAAATTCCTTTTCATATATATGATTTGAAAATTTAATACAAGATTCCCATTACTTTTTACCCTATACAAAAAAAGTTTACTGGTAAGTCATATTCATTTTTTATAAGCATTTAAAGTTAAATTTTTTACATCATTAGAATATTAGATGATGATTACCCCCTTAACAATTTCTATTCTTGAAAATTTAATACAATGTTCCTAGTTCTTATCATAATCATTTAAAAATAGCTAAATAGCTAGTATATATTTTTATTATTTATTTTAAAAACTCAAACTTTGAAAAAATCAAATACAAATTCTTTTGTAAGTAATAATTATTTGTAAAATCTTTAATTTGGATACCCAAGACTTTAAAATGTAGTGTAAGATTCATAAGTAATTCATACTAAAACGGAAATGAGCAATAATATACACATTCAAAATTTTTTCTTTATATATATTTGAAGTTCAAATTTWGACGAAATACATATTTAAACAAACAATAACAATATCAGTTATTTATTTGTTATGTAAAAATAATATAGCGATGTGTCTAACGTTGAGCTTTCAATATTTCAACCCATAGGCTTTAAAATATAATATTGTAAAATTTATATGTTAACAATATTAACTCACATTTATTAAAACAAATCTATTTTTTCATCGATTTGATATGCATAACTATTATTTCTGTACTCAAATCGTCACGATTTATAAATATTTTTATTTCTATAAATACTATAGTTACCATTAAAATATACTAGATACCAGATGATTAATAAATCACTTTTCTTGTCTAATTTCTCAAATAGGTACTATTTATTTGTTTTTTTATACCAATTCAATATTTATAAATAAGTGCAAAACTTAAAATGGAAAATGAAGATTATGAAGCAATAACATTTCACAATGTCCCAGTAGAAAATTTAATTGACTCTAGAAAATATTGTGATCGAAGAAAGATATTTGAAAATAGAGATAATTTTATATTTGATGGTAAAGCATGAAACAACATTTTGTTACTTGTTAGGTAAATTTTAATCGAATTTGTAATTTGTAATTTGAAAATGCGTCAACGAAAAATAAAAGGCAAAATCGAATACATATACCTAATGTAACATRTATAATAATTTAATTATATTATAATGTATATTTAAAAAAAACTCTTTGTTTCAAATATGTTCAAAGCAAAAGGCTTTTATAATTTTATATTAATCCAGAATCTGCAGAATCCTATATTGTATTCAATTATTTTAAAACATTATATTATACTATATTATAATTATATTTAGATTCGGAACGGAGCGATGAATATATTGGTTTAATAATTACGCATTAATGTGTACTGTTATTAATTATGTCAATTTTTCTGCTTCAATCTTCAACTTTAAGAGTGGTTTCTGATTCTAGGTATCTATAGTGAAGTTTGTATTTTAGGAAAAAATTTAAGGAATGAATTGTCCAGGTTTTAAAATTGTATTAATTAAATTACCGATTATCAATTTGGAGAAAACAGTATCGTCTTATACATAATAATGATAACAAAATTCGTGATTATTCACGCAATAATATCATAGGTAACTTAGTTTTAGACTTTCTATACTCAAACCTAAGGTAATACTATAATGCAATCATAAAAAAAATGCATTGTTCTTATTTTAATATCTGTAGAAAATCCACTTGATTCAATTAATATGTTATCTTTCATAAACTTTTTTAATCGAAAACCATGTCAAAAAAATTTACTAAGGTATACCACCTACTGAGCAACTCAGTAGGTACTGATAAAATGAAATTYCATAAACAAATAGTTTACAATGATAAGTTATAGTTATAACATCTCATAAAGTTCTATAAAACGTATTAGGTATCTATATAAAACTGACTTCTAATTTTTAAACTAGCTGGAGACCTCATTTGAATRTTTCAATTAATATTTTATAGTTCACGATGAAAAATCTCAAAACAATATTGAAGAAGCATATGAAAAAAATGAAGCTGAGGATTCAGACGAAAAGTTAGTTGTTTTGACAAAAGAAGAGAGAAAAGTACTTAGAAAATGTAATATATGGAGACACCAAAATATTGATGGGTAAAATATATATTATTTATTGAATATATTTTATTAAAACACTATAACAAATTGTTTAAAATTTTAAACTAGTATCAAAAATGCGGTGGCTAAGCGAAAATTTCAACAAAAAATGATAACACAACCACCTGTTGTCAAAAAAATTGAAAACAGTGAATTTGAACTAGGCAATATTATCGAAGAATTGAATAATTTTATAGAAGGAAAATGTTTAATTTTTCATAAAAATGAATATGAACGTGAATGGATAGACAAAAATGTCAATCAAGATAGATTATCTGAAGTTAAAAATAAATTAATTGAAATAAATAAAAAATGTAGGGACATTGATGATAATTTGAAAAAAACCAGTAATAAGGAAGATACATTGGTGATACAAGAAGATATTATTTCATTAAAAAGTAAATCTTAATAAATGAAATTRTTAATTATTAAAAGTAAATAAATCGTTTTTCAGGAGAAAGTTTAGATCTTCTTAAGCAAAAAGATAAAATTATTAATAAGCTATTAGAAGGACTAGAAGAATTGTTAATTAAATCATCTAATGAAACATCTTCTTATACAAATGAACTGGATAAATTAAATGAAATCGCAAACAATAAATTACACACCCTAAAAGAAGAGCATAAAAAGTATTATATAGCTATAACTGTAAGTAAACATTAAATAATAATTATACATGATATATTATAATATTATCACATTCATATATGCCTACATATAAATAGATAATAATAATAGTCAATATTTATACCGAATTATATATGATATTTAAAGAAATTGATTGAAGATACAAAAAATGAAAAAGAAAACAAAGATTCTACTAAATGGAGACTTTTGATGGACAAAATCATTAATAAAATATCAAGTGCAGCATTAAAACAGTTGGYACTCATTGAAAAGAACAACTTTGAATTATTAAAGCTATTTAAGGCCAATGAAGAGAACACAAAAATATTTAGAATAGAAACAACTGAGAATTATGTTGTAAGTAATAAATACAAAATAATTACATATTAAAATAATTATCTACAATTACACATATATATTATATTTTATTAATTCACTATTCATAAACTGATACCTACATATTAGTATATAAGAGGTGTCCTATAAAAGTTTATTAGTTAAAACATTTGAGTTATAGTCACTTATAACTTATAAGTTTAAGGTACCAATTCTAACTTTCTTAATTTTTTCACGAGACAAATGTATTAAGTAAAACTAAATATTTTTAACTAACTTATTAAATACTTTTCTGCTAGACTTGTGAATTAGATCATGAATAATAGTTTTGACTTTGATGGTGCAGCCATTCAAGGGGGGGGGGATTTAGTACCCCATCTAAATTTTCTAATATTCTAGTGTACTTTTAATTTTTTCAAATATTTTTTTTTAATTTACAATAAGGTACTTCTAGCTTTCGCTATCTATACCTAGATATGTAGGAAAGGTAATACATTTTGGGGTGTTTGACGCGATATTAAATTATAACAATTTTAAATTAGGTAGTAACAATAGTTAGATGCTTAAGTTAGAATGTTTCTTGAGGAATCAGATTATGCGGGGCTCCTCGTGGGAGGCGGCGTTATAGARGTGGTCTGATGTTAATGTGGTAGTGCATGAGCCTGTTGACTTATGGATGGATTTAAAGAATCTCACAGTCAGGAGTTTGATATAGTCTTGAAGAGTTGACATTTTGAGGTCTTTGTGTATATTTGAGTTCCTTACAGCTCATGGAGCGTTTGTTATCGAAGTTATCGTTCTTAAAACTTTGTTTTGATATATTTGCAGTATTTTTAGATGAGTTCGTGTACATTTRCCCCAAATAGGGCAAGTGTATGTGATCTATGTACGTAGTAACTACTTGCTTATATATATTAGTAGGGAAAGTTTTTTTTGTAATGAAAACTTTCTGTTTAAGATAGGGAAAAGCATCCCTAGACGTTGATAGGCTTGTTAGAGTTTAGATGAGAGGTGTGGCCACCAGGTTAATCTTTTGTCCAACCTTACGCCAAGTCGCCAAGGTACTTGACGGACGGTTTCCATGCGATTGATTCGTTATTAAAAGTTAGTGGTGATGGAGTAAGAGTACGGCGTAGACTGAATAAGATACTTACGCTTTTTGGTGGGTTAATTGATATTTTTCCAGTTCTTACATCAGGCTGATAATGTTTAAGAGGTTTTGTAGGTATATGTACAGATATTGCTTCTGGAYTGCGACATTAAGAGTAAATTATAGTATCGTCCACGAAGAGGGCTATATTTGTGTGCGGAGACTGCGAGATGTCTGATGTGTATATGTTAAATAATGTTGGGCTAAGTATTGATCCTTGTGGGACGCCAGCTAAGATTGGTTAGAWAGAAGAAAAGTTGTCATTTATTTGATGCCATACTTTATCAAAGGCCCTAGATATGTCAATGAAAACGGCACACGTGTGACAGTGTTTTTCAAATGAGTTACTGATATGTTCTGTTATACGCATGAGTTGTTGTGTAGTGGAATGACGTGCTTTGAATCCTTATTGGGATTTTGGAATCATGTCTGTACAGTTTGGATAATCTTGCAGTCTCGAGAAGATGACTTTTTCAAAAATCTTAGATAACGATGTTAGGAGGCTAATTGGTCTGTAGSTGTTAGGGTCTATTTTGTCTTCCCCAGGTTGTTTTATGAGGATTATGATAACCTTTTTTTMCAGTTTTTGAGAAGTGACCAAAACGAAAAAGAGAGTTRAATAAGGAAGTCATGAACATAATTGCTTTAGTAGGTAGTTTTTTGTACATAAGATTCGTGATGTCGTCGTAGCCAGAAGACTAGTCTTTTGATTATTGTTTTAATTTCTCCTGGAGTAATAAACTTGATTGGATTTTGTACTGAGAAGTTTGGTGATCTCAGAACGTCTTCAACAAGTTCAACTCTAAGGTCATTAGTATTGTATGCATACTAGTTCGGAGAGAAAATGTTCAAAAGGTTTTCCGAGAAGATTTTGCATTTTCCCGCGTCAGATATGATGAGACGAACTGGAGTGCGAAGAGAAAGAATGCAGTTTGTTTCTTGGTTTACTAATCTTTTTGTGACTTTCCATAAGCTAGAGTCATTTTGATGAATATTAGACAAGAACTTGCTATATGAATTTACGCGGAATTGTTGCAAGGCAGTCTGCACTTCTTTAGTACCTAGTAAACTTGTTTAATATTTTAATTCTTTCAAATTAGGATGCATGTAAACAGTACTTTATTTAGGTTTTTTTTTTACAAAAGCCCAATGGTAATAGTTTTTCTATAAAAATGCGATACTTAGTTTATAGTATTAATCAAACATAAACGTCATAAAAAACCGATCGAATCAAAATAAATTCCATTGCGGTCCACACGGTTATCCGATTATTCATACATATCGCCACATTTTGACAAATATGTGGCAAAGAATAATAATATAATATTAAACACTGCAGTTATATGCATTTTATGGGGATTTATTGATTTCGCCGAAATTACCTGCTTAGGAAAAAGGT